TTTCCTTCATGCTGAATTCAGACTGCATGATTTTAGCCCTGATTTTGACTCGCTGACAGGTTTTGAGAAATTGCAGATGAATGCCTGAAATCACAGGCAAATCGGTGAACTATCAAAGATGCGATCTGAGAGAATCACATGAATCGCATTTTATGAGTCGTCGACACCCATTAAATATTAGTGGGTGGCGGTTTTGGGTGTGGCTTAGTGAAGGGTCAATTGTCTCATACAATTTTCATTTCAGTTTTAGTCATAAATAATTGTAGGCTTGACATTTATAAATAGGGTTTACAGTAAAATTCAACTACAATTTGTTTAACTTATTGTTTTTTCTTTACCTTTTCTTTTCTACAATTAAATTGAATATGACTTTAAAGCTTGTAAACACTAATTTATATAGCATATTTTACATTAAATCTGATTAAAAATGAAAAGGGCGCTTTCACACCTGCCTCAGTTAGATCGGTTGAATCGCACTAGAGCTTGTTTTGCTGTTTGGTGCCGTTACTTTGTGCAGTGGACCTAATGTGGACCAAACACTAAAGTGGTTTATTTGTGGTGAGAACACGATCTGAACTCAAATTACTCATTGCATTTTTGTGCTACACCAGCTATTGTGTTTAGCTGTGCTATACGTTAAAAGATGAGGGTAAGTATTTGTTTTAAGAACAGCTGGTACCTTGCAGACAAACTTCTAAAGTAACTTGTGATGCAGTTTCGCCATTTGCAGTGCATTAAAACACTCTTTTCAAGCTGCATCCATGCTTCATTCACAAAATTTATAGTTTGTATGAAGTGATGCACACAAATTACATACTGTACTTTTGGGATTATTTGTGCGTTAATTCTAACCAATCGAAAAGCAGTTTAGAAAAAGCGCTCGATGACTAATCTAGCCAACAAGTACAACTGTCACATGACTGCATTTTGGTTTGTTTCAACTGGTTAGGACCAGAACAGTGTGGTGTGAAAAGAAACCAAAACCACAGAAAATAAGATTTATTTATAGCCCTTTGTCCAAAACAAATTAACTAAACCAATAAAAGGCAGAAATAAAAAAAAAAAACTCTTCAATACAAACATCACTTCAAGTCTACCTCAGAATTTTTTCAAAAAATGCTTTATGATCGGCATGGATCACTGCAAGCAGAGGGAGGAGTGGGAGTGGCCACCAGAGCAGGGGAAAAGAGGGGCACTTGTACGAATATAGGCGGTGTCTGAATAGTGACAAACTCAACTGATAAAAGACAAAGTCCGCCATTCTCCATTTCTCGTACAGCTCTCCCAACAATATTGCTTGCTTCAAACCAACAGCGTGGCTGTATCTGTCGTGACAGCACCGCAGGGAAAAATATGCAATAAACCCCATGGATAATGGAAACAAACACATACAACCTGTGCCATGCGCAGATGCGGACCCAGTCATTCATTGGGTCTCACAGATTGGCACGTCTGCCTTGCCTTCGAGCACATGCTCTCATGAATAATTTAGAAGCAGAGTCTTCACATAGGATAAGAAAACTCTGCAATAAATAATAATGAGAAACCGAAGCGTCATCACTTCACTAGCAGATTCGCGATACGTCACCGATTTTAATTCTGCCTCTAAAATTATTTTAAACCAGGAGATGAAATTTGTTCAATTTTTTAAAAAGTACTCCAGGGTGTCTTAAATCTTTGGTAATGTAATATTGATGCAATGCAACACAATCAGTCCTACTTTTCAGGAAAATGCAGGTCCACGCAAACATTAAAGACAGTGTTCACCCAAAGGAAAATATACTCAAGAATGTTGGGGAAAAATTTGTTTGCAGCAACTTTGGATGTCAATGGCTGTTTTTTTTTCCTGCACTTTTCAGAATATCTTGTTTTGTGTTTAAAAGAAGAAAAAAACAGTTTAAAGCACAGGTGTAAAGCTTAGTTCCTAGAGGGCCGCAACTCTGCACAGTTTAGTTCCAACCCAAATTAAACACATCTGAACAAACTAATTGAGACCTTCTGGGTTGTTTGATATATTACAATTGTAACAGCATAAACAGCAACACTTGCACAATCAATACCCAGCTGATTCAGTCGTTTCATAGCGAGATAAAAAAAAAAAAAGAGCACCGCGCTTCTTTTTTCCTTGTCAATATAAAAGGCAGTGAGGTGCGCCTCACATTTTTGAAACGGAAAATCACGTTTGCTGTGATCGGCCCCTTAAAGGGTCACGAAACACCAAAACACATTTTTTGATATTGTATATGTGTCCTACACTGCTAAAAACACTATAAGGACACCTATATTTCACTAAAAAGTGTAAATTGGTTGTTTTTGCGTTATTTCAAGCAAATTCGTACTTCCGGTTTGAAACTAATTTTTGAAGCTGCGTCACGGTCATGACATAATAGCGTTGTATTCCAGCGTGCAGATTGGACATCTGTGCCAGAGTGTGTCTTATTACGTCTTACAGTGTGCTGCATTAATGCATGAGTAAGGCTTGGATCAAACCAATCAGCGAGCTCTATTGTGCAACTTCATTAATATTCATTACTGTCATAGTGTTTAGACGAAAGAGACGCCACGTTGTGTTGGCAAAACAAGCGTGAAGTGTTGCTTTTATAGTTTGCTGCCGTTAAGTTTTGTTTTCATTTTCTCTCTGTGAGAGCTCAGCTGGAGTCACGTGTGGATTAACAGTGTACACGACGCTCGACAACAATAACTTGCATGTCTAAGGAGGATTATTGTTTACCTGAGAGTTGTTCTCATCTGCAAACGCTGGGATCCGGATTCGCTTTAGTCTCCTCTTAATAAAGACGCGGCTCTAGTTGCTGGTGATTGTCCTGTCTTTACAGATTTGGTAAGTGAGCGACCAGTGCTCTTTGTTTATTCAGTTTGTTCGTATCGAACCAAGTTAAGTATTGCACAGAGTGTAAACATGTTAGCACTACAACCAAACTTTAACCTCGTGTAGGATTTTCACTGCATTTAGTGACCGGAATAACACACGCGGCTTTCTGACGCTACCTGCCGAGTGCATTTAAGTTTCCGGGAAATGCGGAGGTTTTTTTTCTCTCATTCGCCGTGCGGTATCAAACATTGCATGAAAAATACATGCTTAGAGCAGTTCCTTGAATCAAATATTTTGTTTGTCGCAAGGGACATGAATGAATTCCCTGAATGAAAGAGCCAAACTGCAGTTAAAGTCCACCATTTATTAATTTGGCAAATAATTTGACTACAGATGTCCATGCAAACACAGTCACTTTGTCCCCTGTGTGTGTGGGTGGGTGTGTGTGTGTGTGTTTTGACTCTGAAAGTCACCCCACCCAAACAGACACTCCTCCGACACTCCCCCCTAAACAAAGCTGGACACGGCCACTTTTCTGACTTTTTCCAAAGTAGAGGTGTGAAAACACCCTGCTGAAACGAGGGGGCTTCATGGCCCTTTAATGTGCAACTGCAACACATTATTTGTTACTCGCGGGACAATAACGTATGACGACACGTGCCTACAGACATATTTGCCAAAGAAGCTAAATGGAAGAAGAATATTGCTGTTTGATACCGACGAATTGATGTCAATCCAGCGCTGATGCTGATAGCCTCCTGGATTTGCATCATAACAAAACAAATTGGCTTTAGCTTTCATTTTACAGCTTATAAAGCATGTATGCAAATCAATGCAATATCATATTTAAACAACAAAACGGTTTACAAAAAGTCAACATATGTGCGCGTTGACATTGTCTTTTCATCATGCAGCGCACGCACTTGAACCGCGAGTGAAAAGGGAAAATATAGACTATATAAAATACATAATCTTTAAAATAATGAATTCTATTTAAAATGTAAAAAGGTTTTGTGATATAAAAATGGCGGGGCATTATATAAATGCGTATTTTTTGTGGAGCGAGCAATTTGAGAAAGACTGCTATTTTTATTTGTTGGAAGACAAAAACATATGATTGGAAAAAAAAGCCTATGCCTGTTTTTAAAAAGGATTCAGTCAATGTTTTCATTTTGTAATCTAAATTAATAAATTAAGTAAAAAATTATTTAGGGCATGCCTATTTATTTTATACATTTTATTCAGTTTATTTTGTTTTTCTATGGTGTTGGAAACACTGCAGGTGCGTGAAGATGCTCTGTTGTTATGTTTTGTTATTAATATGCTACCATGTTAAAATAAATTAGTATTTTAAAATGCAATATTTAATGTGTCAGACACAAAATAGACATGTAATTTTTTTTCTATTTAATAACAATGTAATATTTATCTGACCAGTTAACCGTTAATATCCTATTAATGTGCGGTGGTTGTCGGTTAGCAAAATTAACTGAAATGAGCACCACTAATTTGATGCCTAAAATTATGTCAACAAAATGAATAATCACGTTCTACTCTAAAGTTTCAAACTAAAGGTCAAAGCCATGTGTGCTATTTCCCTCAACCTTGCTACATTTTTGAAAAACTGTTGAACCATTTTGAAACACCATTATCATATAAAGCTGTTGCTTAACAAACCCGTCAAAACATGCCAACATGCTTCCCACCACACATACAGAGAATAACAGACTAGGGTGCACATAAAAAAAAGACAAAAGAGAAAGAGAAAGGAGGACAGCGAGAGAAAGACGGAGAGAAAGACGCACATGGTCAGAGGTCTCTGAAGGCTGTCTACAGAGGCCTCTGGTAATGAGCTGGCCTGTACTGAGCTCAAGCTGGAGTTTTGGAACAGAGCAAAACGTTTTCTTCTGTCCATACCTCGCAAAATCCTGGCCAGCCATACTGGGACCCAGACCTTTGAAAATGAGACAGAAATGACCAGTGTGAGCTTCACTGAGCTTCACGCCAACGAGAGAACGATCCAGAAAAAAAAAGTAGTAGTAGTGATGCAATGACGCAGATTTTAATAGACGGTTTACTTAAAAAAAAAAAAAGAGAGAGAGAGAGAAAGGGGGCAAGCAAAAAGAAAAGGGTGACTAGATGAGAGAATAAAGAGAGTGAAGGAGAGAACCTTCTTCATGGGTTGCAGGAGGGTCGCTCTCTTCTTTGAACTCCTCTTTCACGTCATCTTCAGATCCCACTTTACCTACAACAAGATTTGAATGATCACTAAAAACAAATATGTCAGCTGGGAGTTAAAACACTGAAAACTAAGAGGAGCCCACCTTCCTTGACGTCCTGTATGATCTCTTCTGGAAGCACAAAGCTCTTTTCAGAGTTTGGAAATGGAAGTATTTCTGATTCATGCTGTGGCAACAAAATTAAATTTGCTGATTAAATTTGAGTGTTGGATAAAATAATTGCAGCAAACAAATAAAAAAGTAGACAATTGACCCTTCGCTAAGCCACACCCAACAACCGCCACCCACCAATCGTGGCTTAGCAACTGTAGCTACTTGCAGGGGCTCTGTCAAGCTTTCGAGCGAGTATATATGGATTGTGCAAATCTGATACCCGGTATCCTTAAAAGTTTGGACGGGATGGTGGAAATTTTTCCCTTTTCAAAACCTAAAACCCAAGGGGAGAAATGCCAGCGTAGATCAAGCTGTGTGAGGGACGCTAAAGGAGCGGAGCTAAGTCGCTTTTGTTTTGATACTCCTGACACATTCAGTCATAGATGGACGGCAAAAACTCACACACCTTTAACCCTACACAGATCTAAACTGTACTAAAATACAAAGCAGGTTATGTTTCACAGCTGTCTTATTCCTTTTTTTTTTTTTTGCTCAATATTTTGAGTAATGCTCCGTTTAAGCCTTCGCTATAATGTTAGTAACTTAATCATACTAATAGTGAATAGGTCATAATGACACGAGTTATTGATCCGGAAAATACTAATCTGCAAAATCTGTTTACTGAACTTCATATTTCCATCTTATTTCAAGCTAAATCAACAAAACAAACAGAGATATTATCACAAACTGAGCACTTGCAATCAATATACTTTACCAGCAATTATTCTACCATTTGGAACAAATCCATCAGTTTCCCCTTTCTGGTTGTTCTTTCTATGAATGAACTATGTAAAAGCACTGTCGTGCGTGTTTCCTCGCCAGTTAGTAACGCTATATTTCATTGCACAACAATTAATCTATCAGGGTTTTTGGCTAAAAAATAGAGAAATCACGGTTTTTAGTTGTTATTATTAGATTATTTTAAAATTTCACCTCTCCTGAGGCGGCTAGGCTAAGCTACCTTCAATTTTGATTGAATTATTCTCTAATTGGTTGCCTATTATGCCGTGAATATAACCCTGTATTGCATACGGCAGTCCTTTTTTGTCTGGCTCTCTCGGATATCTCACTTGTTCGCCAAAAATGACATTAAATCCCTGGCAATGTTTGACACTGGCGCACACACATTGAAAAAGCTGTGCCAGGCACGAAAGCTTGACAGGCGTAGCAACAGTAACTAAGGAGGGCGGGGCTTAGTGAAGGGTCCATTGACATGGATTGTGTGATAGGGATGGGAGGATAACCAGTTTCAAAGTTTACCACGGTTCAGAAAAAATAAATAAATAAATCAAGGTTTTAGAACCACAAAAATGTTCTGTTATACCATTCCTAAGGTGTATGTAAGATTTTAATCTTAATGTGTTTTTTATGTTTGTAAAGAAATCTTTGTTTTTGAAACTAATAAACACAAAATATTACAAATGTTGCAAATAAAGTAAAATATAGTGTTCAATGGGGAAAAAGGTTGTCATTTTTTTACCCAGACATTTAAAAAGAAATTATTTTAGAGCAGTAATCACAATACCGTGAAATTTTTATCCAAGGTTATCATGCCGTCAGAAACTTATACCAACCCATGCCTATTGTGTGATATCTGAGACTCCTGTTAAACTTGTGCATGTTAACCCTAAAAAGATATTTATTTTGTGATATTTTCAGCTGACGGCGACACAGTGGCGCAGTAGGTAGTGCTGTCGTCTCACAGCAAGAAGGTCACTGGTTCGAGCCTCGGCTGGGTCAGTTGGCATTTCTGTGTGGAGTTTGCATGTTCTCCCTGCGTTCACGTGGGTTTCCTTTGGGTGCTCCGGTTTCCCCCACAGTCCTAATACATGCGGTACAGGTGAATTGAGTAAGCTAAAATTGTCTGTAGTGTGTCATTGTGAAATAGTGTGTGTGGATGTTTCCCAGAGATGGGTTGCGGCTGAAAAAACATGCTGGATAAGTTGGTAGTTCATTTGATATATATATATATATATATATATATATATATATATATATATATATATATATATATATAATATATATATCAAAATACATGCTTGTGTGTTTTCCAAATTATATACAGTTGGCAAAATAAGTATTGAACACATCAACTTTTTCTCAGAGAACATATTTCTAAAGGTGCCATTGACTTGATGCGATTTCGGCTTCTAGCGATCATGAAAAACCATTATTCGAGATAAACGATTATTCCATTATTTACCGCCCCCTTTCCAGTTGTAAACATTTGTTGCTCTTAAAAGCGCGAACTAAACCACATGCTCCTGTGTGTGATTGCGGCGCGCACACACAGTCACATGCAATCGGTCAGCATTCGCACACTGTGACGAGCAGAGTGCACACACATCTAAAGTCATTAACGCAAGTGTTTTATGTTCAAATAGGTGGCAAAACGCTGTGTTTAGTGATTATTCCTATTAATCCTCCTTTGTGTAATAAACAAATGAGATGAGGATCAAAAGACATGTGAAAGCGAAACCATTTAAGTGACAGCGTGCAATTTCTACTGCCGTCTGTTTCGATCAGTATTAATCAAATCAGACTGAAGGACCTTTGTAGCTAAAGTGTTTTTCTTACAGTGAAGATGCTTAAAGCACAGTTTGTTTCATATATTTATTCTATTGTATTTATTTTTCTTTCCTTTGCAGGGAGGAAAATAACTATATATACAGTTGAAGTCAGAATTATTAGTTCTCCTGAATATTACCCTTTTCCTCCCCAATTTCTTTTTAATGGAAAGAAGATTTTTTTCAACACATTTCTAAACATAATAGTTTAAATAACTCATTTCTAATACCTGATTTATTTTATCTTTGCTATGATGACAGCACATAATATTTGACAAGATATTTTTCAAAATACAAACATTCAAATTCAAAGTGCCATTCAAAGGCTTAATTAGAGTCATTGTAAAGTCACTGTATAACAGTAGTTTCTTCTGCAGACAATCAAAAATATATATTCTCTAAAGGGGCTAATGATATTGAGCTTAAAATAGGTTTCAAAATATTTAAACCTGCTTTTATTCTAACCAAAATAAAACAAATAAGCCTTTCTCCAGACGAAAAAAAATTATAAGAAATGTTGTTAAAATTCCTTGCTTTGTTAAACATCATTTAGGAAATATTTATAAAAAAATAAATTCTATGGAGCGCTAATAATTTTGACTTCAACAGTAATCGTTTTGAATCATCGTGATTACAATTATGACCAAAATAATTGTGATTATGATTTTTTATCAATAGACAACTGTATTTCTTGTAATAACTAATATTAAAAAACCTAGCAAATGTAGCTAAACATACTGCTGAAAACTAATGTTAAGATATTAATCAATATAACGAGATCTTACTGTAAAGCATTACCTATTATTATGCAGATAGTATAGTTTTATAGCACTTGATAGCAAAAAAATAGGTAAATCTGGTTTTATATTCGCACATATAATGTTTACCACAACACTTTAAATATTCGGTCTAAAATCACATGTAAATTTGACTTAAAAATAACATTAGCACTATTTATTTGACTGTGAACAATGTTAATAATAATATTTGATAGTCATTGGCTCCAAATATGATTTCTTTATTTAGAGTTTACTGAAAATGTATTCTTAAGGGTATGTGTAAATATGAAACCAACTTTACCTCAATCAAAAAAAAAAAAGACTATTGGAAAGTGAGACCAAATCTTAATGTACATTGCATGAAATGAATCAATTGCACTAAATAAAACGGAAGCATTGGTCTTACCAGAGCCTGCATGTCATACATAGTACTCAGGTGATCCCAGATGACTTTAGATGACACCTGTCTGCCGATATTTTGACTGAACTTATCACGAATACAGATCATGTGGAAATGACGATTCACCCCTACAAATGAGAAACAGATCCACACTCCTTACAGCACAGAAAACCCCTTTGTGTTTTTGCAAAGTTAGCCTAGCCGTGATGCTAGCCGGCTAGTTAGCAGACGTGCTAATGTTTGCTAACATCACAAACAAACCGCTATACCCCAGCCATAATCACATTAATAATATATTAATAAAGTGTAAAAAATGTAAAAGTTCACAATAAATCTCAAATCTGTAATGTAAGTTACATGTTATGTTAAGCTATGTTAAGTTAGTTACTTTGTCATTTAGCAATTGGTACTCAATTAAGCTCACTAAAGCATAAATAAAATCGCTTTAGTTACATTAATTATAACGTAATTCAGTATTGTAAAGTATGATATGTATCATTTAATTGAAAGTATTACTATTTTTAGATCAGTAAAAAGCAAACGGAGCAAATGTTTCTGTTTATGATGCTGTATTGTTTCACGTGTGGAGTCATACATGGAGATAATGGCCTATTAATTCACATCATTCAAGCATGAATTCATCTTACCTACGGGTTTGTGACCGAGCATGGCGTGAAAAAGACACACTTCGACTTCCTGACTCCATACAATCGATTCTTCGGCTGTACAGACGCCAGTTTCTGCGGGTTTTTCGTCTGATGGCACAGTCTCCGCTTCCCCCATGTTTCTGCAGTCTCGCACACACACTGGTGCTAACGTTAACCCAGTTCATCACAGGAACCAGCATCACCAAACGAGAACGAACACACAAACACACGCACGCGCACACACACACACTTTGTGCAGTCTCGTATTGACCTATTTGCTAAATTAATAAACGACAACAATAAATATAATACATTTGAATACATAAATAAAACTATCATTATTATGATAATGATTTTAGCTTCCCTACAGTCTTTTGTTTAAAAAGGTTTGACATTTGTATGTTATTATTTATTATTTTATTTATTTTTATAATGTTTATATATTTTTTATTTATTAAATTAATAAAACAAATTGTTTGTTATTTAAAGCTATATTTGTTCGATAATAATATCAAGGTTTGCTCATCTAGTTTTGTTTTATTTATTTTGTATGTCTCTTTTGCTTCCAGTTAATCTTCTGTTATCGTTAAAGGTGCTGTGTAAGTTTTGACTCCTAAAACATAAAAATACCACATGTTTGCAGATATAACATGCTAAATGAATTCTTGTTTATCTGAAAAACAATGCTGAAGTCGATATTCTACTTTAAAAATATGTTTTCCGTGCCAGTGTTGTATCGAAATCTTATATAAAGCTTTATATATGCACACGTGATACCCTCTATACATATGCGCACATGATACACTCTATACATATACATACATGATATACTCCATACATGTGCACACACTATACAGTACATACTCTACACTAAAATTATACACTCCATAGATATACACACATGATCCACAGATGAATAAGCCATGTCAGGGTCTGGGATAGAACCCAGGTCTTTGGCATTAGAGGTGAGGCACGTAACCACTGAGCTACTGGGAGCGGATAAGCCATAAATATGCACACATGATACACTCCATATATATGCACACATAATACACATGCACACATGATACAGTCTATACATTTAAACACAGGATACACTGCATATAAATGCGCACATGATACACTCTATGCATATACAAACATCAGTGACTACATACACTCCATACATAAGCACACATGATACACTATACATATGCATACATGATACACTCAGATGATACACTCAATACATACACACACTCCATACATATGCACAGTTGATACATTCTATACATATACACACATGATACACTCCAAACATATGCACACCATACAATTACACATGATACACTCCATATATATGCACACATAATACACATGCACACATGATACAGTCTATACATATAAACACAGGATACACTGCATATAAATGCACACATGATACACTCTATACATAAACAAACATCAGTGACTACATACACTCCATACATAAGCACACATGATACACTATACATATGCATACATGATACACTCAGATGATACACTCAATACATACACACACTCCATACATATGCACACTTGACACATTCTATACATATACACACATGATACACTCTATACATATGCACACCATACAATTACACATGATACACTTCATACATATGCACACATGATACATACCGTACCCTCCATGCATAAGCACACATGATATACAGATGATACACTCCTTTCAGAGACTGGGATCTCCGGGACCGTGTCTCTGGCGTGAGGAGTGAGGCATGTAATGTATAGAGTGTACACAAAAAAAACTCTATACATATGCACACATGATACAGTCCATATAAAAGCACACGTGACACACTCCATATATATGCACACAATACACTCTATAGATATACACACATGATACACTCCATATATATACACATGACACACTCTATACATATACACAGATGATACACTTCTGCCAGGATCTGTGATAGAACCCGGGTCTCTGGCGTGAGAGGGAAGGTATGTAACCACTTTGTGTTGACTACTGGGAGTTGATAAACCCAAACGTGATAAATGCAAACATGATACACTCCACACATATGCACACATGATACACTCTATACATATACACACTATACATATGCACACGTTACACTATAAATATAAACACTCCATACATATGCACAAATGATACACTCTATACCCATACACACATGATACACTCTATACATATTCACACCTACACTCCATACATAAACATGCATGATACACTTCATACATATAATACATTTAAATGCACACATGATACACTCTTTATATGCACACACGATACACTATACAAATGCACACATGATACACTCCATATACATGCACACGTTACACTCTAAACATATGCACACAATACACTATATACATATATATATATATATATATATATATATATATATATATATATATATATATATATATATATATATATATATATATATATATATATATATATTAAGGGTGGAGCCGAATACGGTATTCGGAAAGGCACGAATAGCGTGTTTTTACGAATACTTATTTCGAACAAATACTTGAAAAATTATTTGTATTCGGGAGCAAGAAAAACATTATATCAAAAAGCAGCGTTTCCTCATGAGACCACAGTGCATGCCCGCGTGAGTGAGTGAGAGAGAGAGAGAGAGAGAGACGCTCAGTCAGAAGTCGGAGGGCAGGGCGGAGGTAAAAGGTGTCTGGCACAAGCTTCTCCACAGCAACAGACAGAGAAGGCTCGGCTGAGCGAAAAAAATACTTCACTGCATCACTATTTTTGTTAAATAGATTTTTGTACCTTAATTGGGTTCCAGATGCAGTTTATAAACTTGTAGTTTGATCGGGATATTCCATTACGCTGCAAGGGTGGAGCCGAATACGGTATTCGGAAAGGCACGAATAGCGTGTTTTTACGAATACTTATTTCGAACAAATACTTGAAAAATTATTTGTATTCGGGAGCAAGAAAAACATTATATCAAAAAGCAGCGTTTCCTCATGAGACCACAGTGCATGCCCGCGTGAGTGAGTGAGAGAGAGAGAGAGAGAGAGACGCTCAGTCAGAAGTCGGAGGGCAGGGCGGAGGTAAAAGGTGTCTGGCACAAGCTTCTCCACAGCAACAGACAGAGAAGGCTCGGCTGAGCGAAAAAAATACTTCACTGCATCACTATTTTTGTTAAATAGATTTTTGTACCTTAATTGGGTTCCAGATGCAGTTTATAAACTTGTAGTTTGATCGGGATATTCCATTACGCTGCATTTTTGAAGTTTGCAATCGGGTGCTCTCTGTTTACATAACGTTAGCTCTGTTAGCGTGGTAATTTAAACAATAGACTGTTGACAAAGTATCGTTAACGTTCGTTTATAAAGGTTAAAACTATGCTTGTGCAGTTGTGTCGAATAGTATGCACTTATGGGAGTTATATGGTACGTCTATATTACTGTCTTTTGCAGACAGCAAGATATATGCTATAGGCTAGTTAACCTTAGCATAGCTTCCCGTCACTTTTTATTAACTTGAAACTCCTCAAATACATTTGGGCACCCAGAAAAAGAGTGAAAAAGAGTGAGACTGCTGCTGAGCCATTTCTTGGTCCTCCACCAGTCAAAAAAAAAAAACTTCATGTTCTTTGTGGAAGAATTTTACAGTCAGTGGAGCTGCAGATAAAACAAACTGATACTGTATAATGTGTGCAAAAGTGAAATTAGCAGAGGCAGAGATATTAAACATCTGTCAACATCTTCTATGCATAATCATTCATTCATTTCTTTTCGGCTAAGTCCCTTTATCAATCTAAGGTTGCCACAGTGGAATGAACCACCAATTTATCCAGCATATGTTTTACGCAGTGGCTGCCCTTCCAGCTGCTACCCAGCACTGGGAAACATCCATACACTCTCTTTCACACACATACACTAGGGACAATTTAGCTTACCCAATTCACCTGTATTGCATGTGTTTGGACTGTGGGGGAAACCGGAGCACCCGGAAAAAACCCACGCCAACATGGGGAGAACCCAGTCGGGGCTCGAACCAGCAACCTTCTTGCTGTGAGACGACAGTGCTACTCACTGTGCCACCGCGCAACCTTCTATGTAATGTATTATGCACTAAAAGCATCCTCTCCTAATACTGTCTTTGAAACCCCCACAAGCATCAATCCCCTCAATCAGCACAGCTTTGTTCTGCTAAATCCTTCACAAGCACCAAATCATCAACACAGCCACATTCTGCCCCAGCAAGTCAGTTTCAAACATAAAAAAAAAAAAAAACTTTGTGTCTGTTTTGTGGCAGGCAGATGACAATAGCAGGGCTGTATCTTTTAGTATTATATAGAATACTTTTTTTTCTGCCAGATCTCCCAGGCAGGGTTTTATTTAGATTTATTTAGTTAATTTTAGTTTTTGGAATTCTGTGCATTGGAAAGAAGTTCTTTCAGATGAAGAACAGTTTTTTGAAGTATTATTTGTTTTTATTCTGTCTATTCAGTGTCCTTCAACGCGAACGGTAGAGGTGGTGGGGTTCATAATATTCACAATGGTATTTTATTAGTTGGTGGTTTAACTATGGATGAGATTATGGCTTCTATGTTATTTTCTTTTCAATGACATTTCTTGTCACATGTTCAAAAACAACAACCAATATTGCATATCTATAATTTATATAATGGGTATAATTAAACAATACTTTCACTATAACGTAAATTAGAAGTGTAATAGAAAAAATATATATTTTTGCGCCATTTTGAATTTTACTCGAATACAAATACAAATACTTTTCCTCCCTCAACAAATACAGATACAAATACCGGCTTCTCCGCACATCCCTAATATATATATATATATATATATATATATATATATATATATATATATATATATATATATATATATATATATACATGATACATAATATAATATATATGCTGTTTTGGGTTGGTGATTGATTCTTTTTGTTTCTTGGGGGCTGTTCCAGAAAGCAGGTTATGTGACATACTCAGGTAACTTTGAGAGTAAGTCGGTGGATAACCTCAGCTTTGGTTCGAAAATCGGAGGTAACTTCTGGGTATGTTAAGTAGCCATAGCAACTTACTCTTTGAAGATAACCTGCTCTGGAGACACCAGCTTGCTGAGC